TTGTATGCCCCTGAAAGTGGCAGGTTCGCCTTGTCCCACAGATGCCTTTGTAAAAGAGTGCAGAGCACGTAGGCAAGGCATTTAAGGAAATCTTATGACCAGACATTGAGTAGCCACTAAAGTATCCTGAACCAGGTATGACCCTGTAGGCTCCCAGGATTAGTAAAAGAAACAAGAACCTTAAGAAGCTAGCAGAAAACTCAGAAGTCATACTCTTTAGAGAATGATCAATATGCAGAATTTGTTTAGGAAATTGAGAAACAAACAAACAACAACAAACCTTTGAGGAATCTGATAACAGGAGTGTTGCAATATATGATCTAAAACACCTAGTTTTAAACAAAAATGAATGATATATATGAAGAAACAAAATAGTATGCATCATACACATGGAAAAAATAAGCCAAAAGAATATGTCACTGAAGAGGCACAGATTTTGGTCTTAGTATGCAAAATCTTTAAATGCATTATTATAAATATATTTAAAAACTAAAATAAAGCACATCTGGAAAATTGAAGGAAAGTATGACAGCAGTCTAACCAAATAAAGAATATGAATAAAGGGATAGAAATTATGAATGGAACAAAATGGGGAGTCTAGAGTTGCAAAGTACAATAATTGAAATGAGAAAATATTCAGAGTAGCTCAACTGCATGGAGCTGGCAAAAGAAAGACTTCATGGGGCCAGCCCCAGTGGCGTAGTGGTTACCTTCAGCATGCTCCACTTCAGTGGCCCAGGTTTGATCACCAGGGTTTGACCTACACCACTTGTGGCCATGCTAGGGTGGCAACTCACATACAAAATAGGGGAAGATTTGCACAGATGTTAGCTCATGGCAAATCTTTCTCAGCAAAAAAAAAAAAAAAAAATAGAAGAATTAATGAATTTGAATATAGATCAATAGAAATTATGCAGACTCAGGGAGAGGGAGAAAAAAGAATGAAGAAAAATGAAGAAGCTCAGAGACCTGTGGCACAGGACCGATTGCACCAACATACACATAATTGACATCCCAGAGAAAGATAAAGCAAAAGGGCAGAAAAATACCTGAAGAATGAATGGCTGAAAACTCCCTGAATTTGAAGAAAAGTATTAATCTACACATCCAAGAAGCTCAATGAAGTCCAAGTAGAATAAACTCAAAGAGAGCCACGCCTAAGCATGGCATAGGGTTACTGAGAAGAGTCAAAGATACAACCTAGAACGTGGCAGGAGGAAACTGACTTTTCATGTACAGGAGATCCTCAATAAGACCAAGAAATGACTTCTTGTCAGACATCATAATGGTCAGAAGGCAGTGGGATAACGTCTTCAAAGAGTCAAAAAAGATAGTGAACCAAGACTTCCATATCCAGCTAAACTCTCCTTGAAAAAAAAAAAAGAAATTAAGTCATTTCAAGATAAACAAAAATAAGATAATTCTTGCTAGCAGCACTGTCCTGCAGAAAATACTAAATGAGCCCTTCAGGCTGACAGGAAATGACACTAGACAGTAACTGGGATCCACATAAAGGAATAAAGAGTGCCACTAAATGTAACTACATAGGTATCATGAAAGGCACTATAAACATATTTTTCTTTGGAACTCTTTTCGTCTGTTTTAAAAGACAACTGCACAAAGCAATACTTATAAACTGTGTCAATGGTTTGTGACAATAATAGTACAAAAGAGGAGGAAGGGAACAGAGAAAAACTGGAGGAAAGTTTGTGTATAATACTGAAATTAAGTCAATGCCATTGCAATCCACAGGCAACTCAAAAATATAGTAAAAGAAATGAGGGAATTCAAAAGGTACACTAGAAAATGTCTACTTAACACAAAAGAAGACAGAAATGAGGAATAGAAGAATAGAAAAAGACATAAGATATACAGGAAAGAAATATCAAATGGCATGCAAACCCTACCTCATCAGTAACTACATTATAGATAAACGTACTAGACACTACAATCAAAAGTCAGAGAACGGTAGTATGGATTAAAACATTTTTTGTATCTACTGGAAGACACACTTTGGATTCAAAGACACAAATAAGTTGAAAGTTAAAGGATAGAAGGAGCAACCAAATGAGAGCTAACGTGGATATGTCAACATTAGACAAAATAAACTTTAAACAAAATTTTTAAAGATGAACAGGACATTTTATAACAATAAGTGGGTCAGACCATCAGGAAGATATAATGAATATAAACATAAACGCACCAAACAAGAGTCCCTAATACATGAAGCAAAACCCAAGATGGAAGAGAGAAACAGACAATTCAACAAGAGTAGTTGAAGACTTCCACACACAGTGGGTTTGTTGGTGTCCCCTCAAATTATGTGTCCAAGTCCTAAGCCCTGGCACCTGTGATGGTGACCTCACTAGAAAATAGGGTCTTCGAAGATGGAATTAAATTAAGGATCTCAGTATGAGATCAACCTCGATTTAGAGTGGATCCTAATTCCAATAGCTAGTGTCCTTATAAGAGAAAAGAGAGGGATATTCAGACACTGATGCACAGATGCATTGGAAGACAGAGGCAGAGATCTGAGTTATCCAGCCCCCAGCTGAGGAATGCCTGGAACTACCAAAGCTGGAAGAGGCAAGGAAGGATTCTCCCCTAGGGCCTTCAGAGGGATTGCAGTCCTGCCAACACCTTGATTTCGGACTTCTGGCCTCCACAACTGTGAGAGCATAGGTGTCTCCTATTTTAAGCCACCAAGTTTACAGTATTTTGTTAGTACAGCCCTAGGAACTAATACCACATCACTTTCAATAATGGATAAATAACGAAGCATAAGATCAATAAAGAAATTGAATATTAGGACAACACAGTAACCGATGAGATCTAACAGACTCTATAGAATTTTCCACTCAACAACAGAAAAAGGCACATTCTTCTCAAGTGAATGAAGAACATTCTCTAGGATACGATAGAGCGTAAGTTAGGTGTTAAATGAAGCCTCAGTAAAATCTTAAAAATTGGAATCATACAAACTATTTTTTTCTAACCAGAAATGAATTAAATTAGAAATCTACAACAGAAGAAAATTTGAATTTCACAAACGTGGAGAAATTAAACATTCTCCTAAATAACCAATAGCTATGGTCAATTGATTTTCAGCAAGGAGGCTAAGACAATTCAATGGAGAAAGAACATCCTTGTCAACAAATGGTCTTGGGAAAACTGGGTATCCACATGCAAAAGAATAAAATTAGGCCCCCTTCCTCACACCAGATGGAAAAATTAACTCAACAGCCATCAGACATATCTGTAACAGCTAAAACTATAAAACTTCTAGAAGAAAAAACTGGAGAATGTCTTTGCATCCTTTGTTCAGGCAATGGTTTCTTAGATATGACATCCTGAGCACTACCAACAAAAGAAGAAAATAGGTACATGTGACATCATGAAAATGAAAAACTTTCCTGCTTTAAAGAAAGCACATTAGGAAGACGGTGAAAAGACAGATTTGTAGAAAATATTTGCAAATCGTACATTCATAACGGACTAGTATCCAGAATATATTAAGAACTCTTACAACTCAACAACAAAAAGACAAGTAACCCAACTGAAAAATGGGCCAAAGATTTGAATAGGCATTTCTCCAAAGAAGATATGCAAATGGTCAATAAGCACATGAAAAGATGCTCAACATCATTAGTAATCAGGGAAACGTAAATCTAAACCTCAATGAAATATCACTTCACACTCATGAGGATGGCTAAAATAAACAATGTAGAAAATAAGTGTTGACAACGATGTGGAGATATTGAAACTCTCATATATTGCTGAGAGGAATGTAAAATGTGGGACACTTTTGAAAACAGGTGGTGGTTTGTCAGAATGCTCAACATAGATTTGCCATATGACCCAGCAATTCTACTTGTAGATATACACCCAAAACAAATGAAAACACAAGTCCACACAAAAACTTGTACATGTATGTTTACAGCAGCATCATTCATAATACCAAAAAATTGGAAATAATTTAAATGCTCGTAAACTTACGGATGGATAAACAAAATGTGGAATATTCACATAATGGAATATTATTTACAAAGCAACAACAACAAAGAATGAAGTCATGATACTCACTACAACATGGATGAACCTTGAACGCACCATGCTAAGTGAAAGAATCCGGTCACAGAAGATCACATGCATGACTTCAGTTATGTGAAATATCCACAATAGGCAGATCCACAGAGACACAAAGTGGACAGGTGACTGTCGGTGGCTGGGGCGGAGGAGTGGGTGGTGGGAATGGGGAGTGAATGTTCCTGTACATGAGCTTTCCTTTGGGGAGTTGAAAATGTTCTAAAATCAGATTGTGGCGAAGGCTGCACAACTCCATGGTTAGTCTAAAAGCCACTCATCTGGACACTTTAAAGGGGTAAATTTTAGGGATGTGGAATATAGTTCAATAAAAATGTAAAAACAATAAACCTAGTATGAAAAGCTGAAAATAAAAGACTGCAAGCTCTGGAGCGTGGCTGTCTGGATTGGAATCCCAGCTCTGCTACCTAGCAGCTGTGCACCTATGGGCATTCACCTAAACTATGTGTGCCTCAGTTTACTCAACTGTAAAATGGGACAAGTGACAGTACACGTCTACTTCATACTATTGGTCTGAGGACTGATTAAGATAACACAGACAAAAATGGTTGGAAAAGTGCCTGACCAAAAATAAGCACCTCATAAATCTTAACTATGATACAATCTAGTATTTTCATTACTTAAATCAGCTGTACTTTTTCAAATGAAAAATTGGAATATCCTTTGGATTTTGATGTAGAGGGAGGTTAGATTTTTTAAATTTGGATTTCATCTTTGTAATTTCAAGGTCAGAGATTGAAGGACATTCTCCTTAACTGTTATTATCTTCCTCCAGAAAATGCCCTAGGGATTATTACTTAGTGTCTCTCTGCATGTTATGCTCTGGCATAATCCAAATGCTATGCTGGCCAAGGTCATGCTGGAGAATAGAAGGACAAACGGGAAAGTGCATTTACTGGGTTGACGTTCCATAGAGATGAGGCCTGGATGCTGCAGAAATGGCCACGATCACGGCCGGGACCCCGTAGCCCACAGGGAACATGAGCTTCTTCATGAACCTGCTCACACTGGAGTAGTTGACCACCGCCAGGTTGCGCGCAGTGAGGAAGAGGTGCAGGCCCGCCAGCAGCATCCAGGTGAAGGAAGCCAGGTAGAGATAGTGTAAGGCACCCGCGATGATGGCGCACAGCACCTGGAGGAGGAGCGAGGCCTCACCAGGAGGGAGTGTCGGGGTGAAGTATGGCCCCAGGACCTCTCCCGTGCCTTGCCATTGGGGAGAAGTCTGATGCATATGAAGGAGCGGTCAGAGAGGGTTTGTCATCTAGTTGCATCAGTCAATGTGACATTGGTCACTCACCCTCTAACCTTCCCCGGGACCCAAGATCATTTCATTAAGGCATCCAGTGCAGCATGGCTCCATGGACTCAGCACCCCCTGGGGCAGACAGGAGGATCCACTGGGACCGGGTCAGTACCTTGATCTCCGTTCGGTCGACGGCTGTGAGGAAGAGGAGGTGGGCCAGGAAGAGGCAGAGTGAGAGCTGCAGGTGGAGGGAGGTGCTGGTGTTCTGGATGGCTCTGCACAGCAGGAAGGTGAGGGCCGCCAGGAGAAGGCACAGCAGAGAGAGGCTCAGCCCTACGTGGGTGATCACATCCAGCACGGGATCCTCCTCCTGGGACCCAGCAAAGAGGAGACCACAGTCACTCCTTCCTGCTCTGGGGTAATGGCCCTTCCACCATTTTTCTTTTTACTTTTAGGCATAGAAAAATTTAGGAATGGAGGAGCCAGGTAAATTTGACTAAGCACCTACAGGTTCAGAACGTTAGGACACTATGGGATTGTGAACTGATAGATTCAGAGCCTGGACGAAGCCCTGCCTCTCACAAGGGCTCATTTTCCTTTAGAGGTCACCTGAGTGAGTCTCTGGTCTGGTGACCTAGAGGAACTCACCAGCTCACCCGGTCATGGGAGGAGGCCAACACGGCCCACGACCCACCTGTTCTCGCTGACTCCCCTGGTGCCCTCTGCCAAGTCGTCCTTTGTGCAGCCCCTGAGCACTGCTGCACCAGAGACCCCTGAGGTGAGCAGAGGTCTAATTTGGCGACCATATCCCTGCCCCTGGGTGAACACACCCCTTCTTCCAGGTTTCCAGCAAAAGCCAATCGAGAGCTGCTGTGAAGGCATATGGCAGATGGAGGTCCCACATCAGGCCCTACATCAACTGACTTGAAGAGAAGGAGTTTATCCTGGGTGGGCCTGGTCTAACCAGGTGAGACCCTGAAATATCTGGGCTTTTCCTGGAGAAAGACACTCAAAGGCCAAGCGAGTTTTGATGTGAGGGAGCTTCAGCTGCTGGCCTCCAGATAGGACCACTGACACCTTGTGAGAGAGCCCAGGAGACAACCACACGAGAAAGGATGCAGGCGGCCCCCAGGTGCTGAGTATGGTCCCCCACTGCCAGGTAGCAAGAAAGTGGGACCTCAGTCCTACAACCGCAAGGAGCTGATTTCCCCCAACAACACGAAGTGCAGAGGAGGACCCCAGGCCTCAGAGGAGAGGCTTGTAAGACCTGTAAGATGCCAACAGACAGGCCAGCTGCACCATGCAGGACTGCTGACCTGCAGAGACTCGGGGTGACACATCTGTGGGTCTTTAAGCTGCTGCATCTGTGGGAATTGGTTGTAGTGTGACATACACTGAACGCAGCCCCTCCCAGGGCCCTCACCTCCACACCTTTGTGGTTCACTATTGTGTCAATGGGGCTATTTGCCGGCAAGAGGCCCTGTCTGGTGGTGCTGCTGCTCCAGCTGCCCAGCCTCTGGCACCCAGTGGTGGCCCAGTGCCCGTCCCTGTCGTCAGCTCGCTTCCGGAAGGCACAGATCAGCTCCTGCCGTGGCCCAGGCGTCTCTGGCTGTGGGCAGGTGGAGGTGACCGGAGAGGTTAGCCTGGAGCCCCTCTTGGGTCCTGAGCGCGGGCTGAGGCCGAGGAGGCTGTTCTTCATTTGCAGCTGCCCACTGAGCGCCTGCTGCGTGGGCCAGGAGGGGGCACAGCAGTGACCAGGGCAGACCCACGTCCCTGCCCTGGGGGACTGACATGCTCGGGGAGACAGAAGGTAAATAATAGACCAGATACGTAAGTAAACTAGACAGTGTGTTAGAAGGTGTTAGGTGCCATTTAAAAATATAAAAAGAAAGACACAGCGTAGGGAAAGGAGAGCTGTGGCTCCAGGTTGTAACTTTCAATAAGGAGGTCAGGGGCGGCGTAAAAGAGAAGGTGACATTTGAACACACTGGAAACACGTAAAGGGCTGAGTCACGTGAGGGAAAGGTGTCCCAGGCAGAGGGCACAGCAAGCGCAAAGGCCCTGAGGTTTGAGGAAGGAACAGAGTGGGTGCAGGTGGGCTACAGAAGGACCACTCTGACCCTGGCTACTGGGTGAGCAGTGGGGCTGACCCCTCCCCGCCCCAGGACTCACACGGTGGGAGAAGATGACGGTGACGTTGGGGTCGAGTTTCATCGTGTTCGTGTTGCTCAGAAAGACTGACTTGACAGCCGAGAGGAGCCTCCACTGGCTGCCGCGGAGGGGGCTGTCGTGGCTCTCCTCCAGCTCGGCTTGCCTCTCCGGGTCCAGCTGCAGGGAGGCGTTGGCCAGTGGTTTCTGCATGTTGGGGTTGGAGAGGATGCCTGCCACGGCGGGGCCTGCAGACAGACACACCGGCCCGTCTGCCCTCCCTCCTCCCTGAGATGCCTCATCCAGGCTGGCCATTCCAGGGGAGCCCGTCTGACCCTCACCCCTAGCCACATCCCAGCCCCCTCCCTCTCCACGGGTGCCCCCACAACCTGCCTTACCCGACCCCGCAGCCCCAGCCGCCACGGCCCAGTCCAGGACCATCCATGCATGGCTATGGTCCAGGGTGACGTTCCCGTGCCCCTGCTCCTGGATCACCAGGGACAGCTCTGAGGGGAGAGGGGCAGTGACTGGGGGTCTGGAGCAGGATGCGTGTAGGGCTGGGGCGGGCAGGGCAGGACGAGGCCTCACCTGTGCCTTCAGGAGACTGGTAGGTGAAGGAGCCTCCAGGCACGGCCTTGGCGAGGGTCCTCAGGACTTCTTCCAGGCCCGAGAGCAGGTGGGTGACCGTGTGGTGCCGGTCAGGCAGGGCCAGGGTCTCCAGGTCCCCGGGGGCTTTCAGCAGCTCGTCCACTGACTGGATGAGGTCCTGGGGGTGGTGGGTGACAGCCGCTGGGTCATCGCACCACAGGGGCCACCTGAATGACACTGCTCTTCCTCACCAGGGACATGGGAGGACCACCCGGGGGCTGGGGAGCACACGCGGGTGCCATCGAGACCCTGGAGGAGCCAGAAGACCAGTGAGGGCGCAGCCTGTGGCCTGTGTGTCACAGCCATGGTGCTCGACGTCCCTCAGGACCAGACTCCTGCCCCTCCATCCAGAATAGTCGCCACAAGCCACGTGGCCGTTGGGCTCTGGAAATGAGGCTGCTCCAAATGGAGCCAAGCTTGAAGTGTAAAATATGCAGCAAAATTGCCAACACTTAGTTCAAAAGAATGTGCAATATCTCAGTGACATTTTTATGATTCTGTCTTGAAATGGTAATATTTTGGATCTATTGGGTTAAAGTCCATTTTCTCAGTAATTGGCCTTGTTTACTTGTACTTTTTTTTAACATAGCTACCAGGAAATTTAAAATGACATACGGGCTCCTGCCTGTCTACCCGCTAAGCGCGCACCAGCTCTGCCCCAAGGGAGCCTCGAGGGTGGGCGGGGAGCTTGGGGAAAAGGGGCGGACACAGCGGGCTGCACGGGGGGATTCCTGCCTCCCGGTCCCTGCTGGAGCCACTCACCTGGCTCTGGATTCCGGGGGGCAGAGTCCAGGTGGGGAAGGACACCTCTGCAGGGGACAGACAGGGGTTCTTTAGGGGTTAGAGGGTCTGTGCTTGTTGGGATGGGATCTGGGGTCAGGTCAGATCAGGTACCTTCGCACACGGTGGTGTTTTGGTTGTCCCGGAGCCCCGGCAGGGGTGTCCACCCTGGGTGGCAGCGGCACCTGTATGAGCCCGCGGTGTTGACGCAGACGGTGGAGTTATGGCACTGGTACTGACCAGAGCTGCACTCGTCGACATCTGGGGACATGAAAACGGGGTCAGGCCAGGTCACAGCCTGGAGGAGGGCCCTCACCCCTCCACGCCCTGCCCCCTTCTCCGTATTTGCATCCGCTTGCCCCCTGGGCTGGAGGCGACGCCACCTGGTGACGGCACACCCTGAGTGGTGACCACAGGTCATGGGGAGTGCAAATGTGACACAGCAGGTGAGCCAGACGGATGTGCAGGTTGTGAAATAGTGGGAACCTTCACCCCAGTTAGTAATTAGCTGCTGCCTGGGGTCCTGGGAGCCTTCCCCGTGGTACCCCAGCTCCTTCCCCAGGACCCCCGGATCTTTTCCCATTTGGTCTCTAAATGCTTAGTGCCTGGCCCCACAGCCACCCCCAGCCTTCATGCTGCTGGGTCCAAGTGGGAGCCATCAGGTATGGGAGCAGCTGTTCTGGGAGGGGGTCCCCAGGAGTGCAGCCGCCAAGCTCTGGACCTGCACAGATGGTGCTGTCTCGGCCTTTGGGGGACCCAGGACCCGGCTTCCAGCCAGGGTGGCAGCGCACTTGTAGCCGCCCAAGACACTGAGGCAGTGGGTGGAGCTGTGGCAGGGATTGTGCCCCGAGGCACATTCGTTCACATCTCAGGACAAAGCCAGAGGGTCAGGCCCTGCCCTCCACTCACTGCACACCCCTCACTGCCCGGCACTAGGACCCCAGCATTATTGCATGCGCCACCACCTGGTGACTTTCACCTTCACCCTCAAAGCACCATATAGTGGCCTCCCTGCAACGTGGCCTTGCAGGGACCATGGCCCCCAGTTTACAGGCAGGGAAACCAGGAGAGAAACTGAGGCGTGGGGGCTGGACTTTTCTTTTTTTAAAGATTTTATTTTTTTCCTTTTTCTCCCCAAAGTCCCCCGGTACATAGCTGTATATTCTTTGTTGTGGGTCCTTCTACTTGTGGCATGTGGGACGCTTCCTCAGCGTGGCTTGATGAGCAGTGCCATGTCCGCACCCAGGATTCGGACCAACGAAACACTGGGCCACCTGCAGCAGAGCTCGTGAACTTAACCGCTCAGCTACGGGGCGGGGCTGCACTTTTTGACCAAGGAATCTTGCCGGCTCCTTCTTGGGCCCTGGTCCAGGTTCCCTTTCTGGAAAGTGGAAATGACAGCTTCCTCTGTTCCCATGTGACATACGAGGAAGGGGCGAGGTCTGGGGGTGCTCTCAGGGGCAGGGGGCTCCACAGGGGACCCAGGCCCAGAGGCCGGGCTTCCTCCCTGCTCTGTGGGGACCTTCAGGGAGGTGGGCCCTGGGCAGGCTCAGCAGGTGTCAGCATCCCAAGGCCTGAGGATCGGCTCCTCCTCGGGCTGCAGGACCCGCCTAAGCTCCTTCCCAGTGCATTCAGCCTCGGTGCCTCCCCGGGGCTCTACCTGTGCACAGATTCAGGTCCTTTGGGTTGAGCTCCAAGCAGGGCGGGCACGTGCAGGTGTAGCTGCCCAGGGTGTTGGTCAGACACTGCGGCCTTTACAGATTCTGGGTTTCTGCTGACATTCGTCCACGTCTGCAAGGGGAAGGAGAGGTGACGCAGCCTGCAGCCGTGAACAGCCCTCGGGCCTGGGAGGCAGCCACGTTTCCTGGCAGAGAAGCATCTGGAAGGCCCCACTGTCTGTTCCCGGGTGAGTGGGCACCTTTTCTCATTCACATGGAGGCCTGTGGGTGGATGTGGTGGCCTGGATGTGCTGATGTCCAGAAGTGCCTGGAGGTGGTCTGAGTCCTCCCTGTCCCCAGCTGTGACTCCCTCAGCCTCCCTGAGCAGCTCCCAGCGGGGGTGGGGACAGCAAGGCCACCTGCGTCTGAGGATTCGGTCAATGGCCAGGTGGGCCTCTCTGGGATCGAGAGCAGGGAATTGCTGCATTCCCCGAGCAGCACCATCCTGGACCCAGCAATGGCCTTGTTCAGGATGGGTGCTTCTGGCTGAGTTCTCCTTGGAATCCCTGTGAGCCTGGCAGGACTGTGCTCTCCCATCCATGCTCACTCTGAGACTCCAGCCCCGTGGAATGGACCATGAGCCACCCCTGAACCAGGCCCCTGCAGAAGGAGGCGTTTGGCAGAAGGGAGAGTGGAGATGGTGCTGGACAGTCCAGGGCGACCCAGACAGCGGGTGCCAGGCTGGGTGGACAGTGGGGCTGACTGACATCTGGCAAGGCAGCCTTGGGGCTTTGAAGGTGCCTTTTCCTGATTCCCATGAAGATGTCCCCTGGACTGACAAAAGTGGAGAGATTCACATCAGATCAAGGCCAGCGGTGGGCGAGGGCTGGGTGGCTGGAAGGGGAGCAGGTGCTGATGGGTGAGGGGCGGCAGAGGTTTCTGTCTTCTCAGCCCTCAGCCTCCCCACAGAGATGCAGAACTGTGCACCCCGTGGGGTTGTTTCACCCTCCATCTTCTGGGCCCAAGTGGTCCAGGTCAATGTGGAGCCGGGCTTGACCCCCTTGGAGAGGGTCAGCCTGGGGCGATGGTCCATGATGACACCCTCTCTTGCCATTTGGTCCTCATGGAGCTCTTCTGTCACCCGATTCTCTGAGTTTGTGTGGGGTGGTTTCTAGGTCACGCTGTCCACCTCTGACCCTGCTCCCCCCAGGTCCCGGTCATCCGCACTGCCCACGGGCCATGAGCTGAAATTACTGGGGAGGGTCCGGGCAGAGCCTTGTTCAGAGAAGTCGATGGAGGCAGACCCACCGGGTCAGGTGCCAGGAGACGTCTTCACCAGGTGGGGATGTTGGCCAGGGCCAGAGCCAGCCAGGCAATGCGTACCTGCCCTTGAATCTCCCCCGTCTCGTGTTTCTGGACGGGGCTCCTGGGTCCATCATGGCCTGGGGGCTCTGAGGGTGCTCCAGGTGTGGCCGAGCCCCTGTGGGCTTCTGGCAGTGACTGAAGAGGTTGAATATTGTGCTGGTACCAACACGCTGTGAGCCCGTGAGGTCTCTTGATGCCAACCCTCTCTTTTGTTTCATGAAAATAAGATGCCATGTGGGCAAGGACGACATTCAAAATTGCAGAAGTGTCCCTCTGTGGAGGGTTCTGAGCCTTGCAGTTCAAGACGGCAAGTGACTTGGTTGGTGCCAGGACGGCCCTCTGCTACCTAGAGAAAGTGGCGCAAATGACTCCAAGCCTCATGGATAAGGGGATGGCAGACGCGGGTGGTTCTTACCTTGACACGTGTTCTCACTCTCGTTTCTGAACGTTGTTGCCCCAGAAACAAGCCCATATCCGGGGGCACATGTGCAGTAGTAGCTCCCGTCCACATTCTGGCAATCCGCGAATTTTCCACAGGACATGGCCAAGGGTGGTTCACACTCGTTGACGTCTGGAACACAACAGGGCAGAGGGTCACCTCCCAAAGGTGAGAGTTCCCAGAGAGCAGAGACCCTGGCCCAGGCTCACCCTGCCACGGGGACGGCACAGAACTCAGCTCCCGGGTGGCACCCCTGGGACACAGCTCGGCTGGAGCCATCTGCTCCAGAAATTCTGCTAATTGTCTGCTCATCTCCGCTCTCTGGCTGGGCCTGAGGGCACCTAGATTCAGAAACTCTGCTGTCCCATGACAGGGGCTGGAAGGAGGTGTGCACCCCTCTCCACAGCTGGAGGGGTAGACGGAGGCACTGACTCAGCTCCGGACCCTCCCCTGGGATGCTCTCAGCACCACTGGGGACCTGGGAGTGCACTCCAGTCAGGGTGACAGTGGCATTGAAGGCCACTCTCGATGCCGAGGAAGGGGAGGGAGCATAGTGGGGGCTGTCCTGGGCCACGCTCATCATTCACACCTGGGGATAAAGCCAGGTGGTCAGGAGCCTGCCCAGCGCTGGCTTCCATCACCCTTCACTCACAGTGGCCCAAGTGCACCCACACTCCCCATCAGGCACTCCCCCAGCTCCCCAGGTCAGGCCTTTGCCAGATGCCTCAGGATGTCTCTAGGGGAGTCTTGCAGTCTCCACCCCTGAGGGAAGTCTCCCCTTATCAGAGCCTGTGGTGGATGTGAAATGAGGAAGCAGCACAAGCTGCTCATGGCTGAGTCATCGTGGTGTCTTCTGGCATCTTCTGTCTCCTTGTTCTCCCATCATGAGAAGAAAGATGCCCATGAGCCACATCCCCTTTGAGCAGCTCAGGACCCACAAAGCAGGGGCTGCACAGCGTAACTGAAAACAGCATCAGCTTAGTAAGAACCGCAGATGCAAAATAAATCAACATGCAGGGCAGCATGGCGGCCCTCGTGCATCCAAGGAGGGGACCAGAGACTTCAGTGCCTGAGAGGACTCACAGTGTCATGGCGAGTCAGGCACACAGCTGGTCTCCCCCAGATGGGAGCTCTCTTCTCTGCACCTGCAGACTTCCCTTCTAAGGCCCAGACCCAGGCTGCGGGTGTCAGCACCAGAACAGGACAGGATGCAGGAGGGACGCATGCCTGAGGGATTCGTGTTCAACCCCCACCTGGCAATGGGGCTTCCCTCCTCTGTTCTATGATGGCGGCAATGGCTGGACATCTGTTCCCAAGGTTGATGGGAGGGTGTGAAGCCAAGTGTGGGACCCTGAAGAATGAGGTGCAAGGGATCGGGGGAGACATGAGGATGGGACATCTCCACCTGACAGGCGCCCTCCCTGACAGGAGCCAGGATCCAGGGGCATTAGCAGCAGGGTCTCCTGTCCATGGTCACCTGTCTACAAATCTCCGTGAGACACACACGCACACACAGAGGAGCCTTTAGGAACACCGCCAGGGTCATGGATGGCTGGGCTGTTGTCACAACAACATCGGCTTTTTCCACATGACAAAATTTACTTTCCCTCAAATATTAAATAACACACGTATACTAGGAAACCAAGAGAAATTATACATAATCCACTCCACAGACTACTGAAACTTTTAGGGGTATTTTCTCTCATTTTTTCAAATCTATAGGGAGTGTTTTTCCCTTCATTATCAATAAATAAACATCCAAGACCATTTTGAGTCAATGAGGAGTATTTCCTAGTGTAAAAACAGTATAATTTTCTTCTTTTCCCATTTTTAAAAATCGTGGTAAAATGCACAACATAAAATTTACCATCTGAACTATTTTTAAATGGTATAACATCCTTTTATGACGCTGTATTGTTGAAGAAGGAAAACGCTTCATTTTACACCTGGATTTCGATTCGACCACATGATTAGTTGTAGGAATTGGAAAAGTCACTTGATCTCTTTCCACCAAATCTGATCATTTAAACCACAAGCCTAGCCCTGTCTGCCTCACGGGGCTGCTGTGAGCAGGAGGTGGGAGATCGTGGTTGTGAGCTGGGTTCCTGGCGAGCTCTGGCTGGTAAAAGGGCCTGAGCTCCCTGGCCCAGGCTGTGTCTTTCCTCCTGCTGCTTCCATTATCTCTCCCGTTTCTTTGTATTATTAGAATAATGACAATAATAACAGCAGTAACAATGATGATAGCTCTCATTTGTTGACAATTCGCTATGTACTAGTCTTTCCCTGTTCTTCCCACACAGAAATGTTAGATCTCACACCATCCACGTGGGGCAGGTGCAGTGATTATCCCCAACTCACAGACAAGCAAACTGAAAGGAGAGCTAATTTCCCGAATGTCGGAGAGCCAGTCAGGGGCAGAGCAGCACTCGGAGCCCTCAGAGCCCAGCTGCCCTGTGTGAGCTCACGACACTCTCCCTACTGACCATGAAAGCAGGTGCCCACGTCCCTCACACTTCCCCTGCCTGTCTCCTGTCTCATCCCTGACAACGTGCTTCTGTGCTGCTCTCAGGGCTGAGGGCTCTGGATGCCCCTCAGTCTCCCCGCACCGTCCCCATGTGCTCCCAAGACCCCAAGCCCCCACAGTACCGTCACAACTGTCTGCAGGGTTGGTGATGATCTCCCCAGACCAGGAGGTGAATCCCAGATGACAGCGACAGGCGGTGGCACTGACACATATGGAGTTCCGAGGGCACCAGGGGGCACAGCCTGGAGGGGCAGAGTCTGTGGAGGCAGAGGCTGTGGGACAAGGACCACGGTCAGACAGTCCATGGAATGGAGGAAGTCAGCTGTCAGTGGGGGGTGCAAGAGTAGAGGAGAGGAGGGCAGAGAATGATGACCCCCAACAAGGAGGAAGAGCTCAGAAAAATCTGGACATTTAGGGGGTAAGAAACAGATTCTCTTGTCCCCAGAGGACCAACTCTGAGCCTCGCTTGCAGAATAAGGCTCATTTCCCCTGCTTTTTGGTGACAGAACCCAGACCCCAGCATGGACGCCCCAGCTTATGTCAAAATGGGGCTGGACAAGCAGACTCACCTCCGGGACTCAGGGCTGCAGCTCCCAATGGCAACAACAGCAGCACTGAGAGTCCTGGGCCAGAAAAAACAGAGAAATGACAAAGAGAGGAGAGTTAAGCTCCAATTTTAATCTCTGTCCGCACGACCATTGCCTCCTGTGGAGGTAGCTCTGTCCTGCAGTGCACGGCTTTCGAGCAGCATCTCCAAGGCTCCTGTACTTCACTGGAATTGAGGACTCAGCCCCTCCCTCCATCCCCCAGGACTCCCCGAGGACTCGGTCACTGACAGCCACAGCCACAGGGATATCAGCAGGGCACGGAGCCCTGGAATCAGGAGGGGGAGGTGACGACAGGTGAGGAGTGGGAACTAAGGAAGCTGCAGGTAGAGCGACTCTCTCCTGGTGAGTGGACTCTCCAGGGACAGCAGCCATGGCTTCCTGGTTCCTCCAGTGAGCTCCTGGCGTCCTCTAGTGCACTGAGGACACAGCCTTCCCCCTTGGCCCCCAGGCCAGTCCTGAGAAATGAGTCACTGAGCAGGTGTTGTGGGGTGAAAGCCGCTATGGGCGCTAAGGAATGAAATCTGCTTTACAGGCCACAACCAGTCTGCCTCACAGGGTCTGTCATCACATCCACGTGAGCTGAAAATCTTTTCAGATCTGTATGCCTTTATGGGATTTTTCTTTTCGGCTGAAAGCAAAGATGAATTTCTCTTAACGCTGCACTGCCAGTTCTCACTGTGCAAGGTGTCGGAGGACCCTGGTGGAGGATGGGTTTGGAGATGGACACGCACACGTCTGCAGCCCAGACGTGGTGCCTCGTGGCTGCAGGGCTTCAGGAACGCTGCCCATCCTTTGCCCACACTTCCCCCAGTGCAAAGTGGGTGCAACGGTAACTGTGATAGGGTGAGCTTTATTCTGACCATAGATTAGTGAAGACTAACAACGGGTTAGCACAGTGCCTGACACAGAGCAGACAGACAACGTACGTCAGCTAAAGGGAAGGAAAGAGCAAAAGAAGGAAAGGAAGAGCAGTTTCCCTCCTGTTCCTCTACTACCTTCCTGTTCCCTGAGACACAGCTGCAAGGATCATAATCCAGGGTCAGGCGGAATTACACCCTCAGCTCGGTTCTCTCAGAGGTCAGATTCCTAGACTTCTACTCTGCCCTCCTCACCCACGAAATGTCCTTTTCTCTTGTGGTTCCGTCCGGTGCTGAGGAGAGCCAGGCTCTGGGGCCAGGCTGCCCGAGTCCACACCCAGCCCAGAGCTGCCCTTCGGGAAAGCTGTGCAGGCGACCCATGCCTCAGATGCCCGTCAACCGTGCTCCTGTTCCTGGAGTGTGGCCCCCAGAGCAGGAGCTAATGATCCTAATGTCCCATGCGCGTGAATAAGGTCATTAGTCTACTGAGATGTTATACACGCACACCTAAAAATGTGCATATCTGGGAGAAGCTAACTGTGCTCTCCATTTCTTTCAAAGCCCCACAGTATTTTGCACATTAGACCCTGCCAAATATGTGCAGATTTTTAAAAACAATCGTGTTCCAGAAAGCAAATGGTAAGAAATACGGCTATTTTCATAAAAACCAGGAAACTAATTACAACCAGTGAGGACAACATATAGGTAACATCTAACCCACAAGGTGACAGTATTATCGTAAACATTGAAGGAAATAGAGACTAATCAAAAGTAAGCTGACCTTACAGGTATCAGTTTTCACTAATTCACTCGTGTTGTGCTTCCGATCATTCCATGACCCACACAAAGCTGATAGACTTAAGGACTTTGTTTTTCTTAGAATATTAGACTTTTCTGAGAGTTTGGTTGTCTACTCTTCCAAAAAACAGTGGCATAGGTGATATGATGTTTAATCTTATGCATCCCTTTGCCCGGGCCGCAGCACCCAGATATTTGATCAAACACCAGTCTAGATGGTGCTGTGAAGGTATTTTTAGATCATAGTAACATTTAGACCAGTAGACATTGCGCAGGCAGATTACCCTCCACAATCTGAGTGGGCCTCACCAAAACAGTAGAAGAAATTAAGAGAAAAAAGACTGACCCCCTCTGAGGAAGAGGGAATTCTGCTTCCAGACTGGCTTCAGACTTGAGATGCAACATCGAGTCTTCCCTGGGTTTCCAGCCTGCCAGCAGGTTTTGGACTTTCCAACCTCCACAATCTCATGATGCAAGTCCTTAAAGTAAATCTAGATAGGTAGATAGACAGACAGACAGACAGAGACAGAGAGAGAGATACATCCTGTTGGTTCTGTTTCTCGGGAGAACCTGAGCTAATATGGGTGGTAAATCCCTTAGTCCCCACCTTCGCCCTCGCAATGAGTTTCACTGACTTTCTCCTTTGAGGACTGAACAGAACTGAGCTAATATCCTTCTTAAAACTTCTTCCCTGCTCTTCCTTACAGAGATGGTGGGAAAACGAGCCAGAAATCGGGCAAAGAGCAGAGAACATTCTCAAACTGTAAAGACAGTTCCCAGCTAGCTTATACTTCTCTCATCGTTGTTATAATTCTTCCTACCTGGCAGCAACCTTAGAAATCTCTTTCTCATGGTGCAGAGTCCAGCAAGCCCAGCCACGGAGGACGTCGGATCTTGGTCTGTTTGTGACAAAGACTTCTGTTTTTACTATGACTTCTGTCTTCATGAGCTGACTTAGGAAATCTCTTATCTCAATGCTTTCTTCCCCTGATCTGCCCCATGATTAACTTCTCTGAAGCTCATAGTTCTGCTTTTAAGTATTTGTACAGCATCACTAGTATTTTCACTAAAACCCTGCCTGAGGCTGATTTTCATATCTTTTTGATAGAAGATGTGATACTGTGTTTAAAAGGCCTCCCAAATGTGAGGAATGATTCTACTGATCTCTTTGCCCCTACAAGGATCTTGATTCAGAGTGAAAAGACCTGCCTATTTATTATCGATTAACAGATTTCTCAAAGTTCTTATTTTGAAATAAATATAGGCTCACAGGCAGTTGCAAAAACGATACCAAGCTGTCCTGTGTACCCTTCACCCAGTTTCTGTCAAAGCTTACATTTTTATGGGATGATCCTGCAAGGTCTAAACTGAGTACCTGACACTGGGACAATGCGTGTGTACAGTTCGGTGTCACTTTATCCCACGTGCACGTGCCCGTAACCTTCCTGCAATCACGAGGTGTAATATTCCAGCACCACAGAGGTCCCCCTCATCCTGCCCAACATCCCAGACCCCGGCAGGTCTAAAACCAAGTTGTCTCACTCTTCAACAATGTCAAAATGGTCCCCGAATCATATTTATTGATAAAGGAAAATATTCGTGGTACGTTTTAGAAGATGACAAAAACACACTTCCCAAATCTTCCAGTAGTCTATGTGGTGGGATTATGGCGATTTTCTTTGCTTTCAGCTTTTACATTTTCTGTGTTTTCCACACGTCCATGTGTGTTAGTCGGCTAGAGCTGCCATAACAAAATAGCAGGGAATAGGTGGCTTCAACAACAGAAATTTATTTTCTCGCAGTTCTGGAGGCTGGGTGTCTAAGATGAAGGTGCTGGCAGGGCTGGTTTCTGGTGGGTCTCTCTCCTGGCTTCCAGATGGCTGCCTTCTCACTTTGTCCAAACATAGCCTTTCCTCTGCGTGTGGAACAGAAGAGAGAGATCTCTGCTGTCTCTTCCTCTCCTTTAAAGACGTCAGGCCTGAGCAGCCCTGATGGCCTAGTGGTTAAAGTTCAGCCCACACCACGTCAGCGGCAGAACCACACCACCCATCTGTTGGGTGCCATGCTGGGATGGTGGCTCATGTAGTGGAACCAGAACAAGTGACAACCAGGATATACAGCTGTGCCCTGGGGCTTTCGGGAGGGAAAAAAATAGGAAGGTGGACAACAGATGTTAGCTCAGGGTGAATCTTACCCTGGAGAAAAAAGACATCAATCCTGTGGGACTAGGGCCCCACCCTCATGACCTCATTTCACCTTAATTATTCCTAAAGGGCCCATCTCCACATATCCTTACACGGGGGTCAGGCTTCAACATACGAACTTTAGGGGGACACAATTTAGTCCATTACATCACATTTACTTAATATTTGGGGGAAAAGTATACTTAATTTAAAAAAAAGATGTCTTCATTTTCCCTTCATTCCTGAGGATATTTTTTCTGTATTAGAATTCTAGGATGACAACTCTTTTCTCTCAACACTTGCAGAGTGTGTGCCTTGCTCTGGCCCCCGTGGTTTCTGATGGCCAGTCAGCAGTGATTCCAGTTGTTCTGCCTTATAGATCAGGCCTCCTTATTCTCACTGTTTCAGGGTTCGTTCTTCGTCTTTAGTTTCAAAAGTGTCATTGTACTGTATCTTGGCCTAGATTTGAGTTTACCAGGCTTGGAGTAGCCGCAGCTTCTTGAATCCATTGCTTTTTGTCTTTTGGCAAATTTTGGAAGTTTTAAGGCACTTTTCCTGAATAACTTTTCAGATGCACATTCGATTTTCATCTCCCTCTGGAATTCAAGGACACAAATATTAGATTCCTGTTATACTCCCGCAGGGCCCTGAGACTCTCCTCATTTTTTTTTTTTTTTTTTTTGGATAGTGTATTTAGTCTCCTTTGTGCTGACTGGATAATTTAAATTGTTCTGTCTTCAAGTTCACTGATTTATCCCCCTCTTTTGTCTCCATTCTGCTATTGAGCCCGTTTAGCAGATTTCTCATTTCAGTTATTGCATTTTTGAGGTCTAATATTTCCATTTAGGTCTTCTTTATATCAGATATTTCTTTGTCAAGATTTTCCATTTCTTGGCCGAGACTTTCTGGTTTTTTGTTTGTTTCCGAGAACTCTGTTTGTGATTGAACATTGGAACATTTTTTCTGACGGGTGTTTTAAAATACATGTCAGATAATTTTAACACTTGTCTCATATCAAACTGAGATTTTCCTGGTTCCTGGGAGGACAATGACTTTTTCATCGTACCCTGGATATGTAAGGTATCATGTTTTGAAATTCATAGACTCATAAACTTAAGGTATTATGTTACTAAAGTCTTCAGTTTTGGCTGACTCCTCTGACATCATTGCAGTGGGGAAAGGGCTGCCATCTCGTTTCTGGCCCACGAGGTTGGGATCCAGCTTTCCTGCTTGGGCTCCCCTGATGCTCCCATGGGGGAGGGATACCTTGTTACGGCTGGGTGGGGTTGGAGGGTCTCGCTCACAACCAGGCCTCTGCTGACACCACCTGACTGGGCTGTGGATAAACCTCCTCTCATGCCTCCACTGACTCCACAGACAGGGATCTTTCCAATGGGCGTGATGAGCATCCCAGTTCCTTCTCTGCTGCAGCCCGTGGGGTGGGAGGAGCGCTTCATTACAGACGGCAGGAGTGGAGGGCTGGGCTTCACACCTGACCTCTGCTGCTGAGGGGAAGACACAGTGTTTTCTGTGGTGTTTGGTTGGAGTTGGCAGTTACTGTTGACCTACTCTCTGTTGTGTTGGCTGCCCCTTCTCGGTCTTTTGGCTAAGGGGGAGCAGGCTTCTCTCGCGGGCACTTCTTTTATCTACACCCATTGGTATTTCTGGGTTGCAACCTCTTCATTCCAAGTCTGGGATGTATGAGGCAGGAAGAAAACCCACAGAATCAACACTGTACATTTCCTTGGGTCTCAGGGTCCCTGTGCTATCTGCCTTCTCTGCACCTTTCAGAGTCTTCTTATGGTTGTTTTATGTATAAAATGTTTATATTTACTATAGTTGTAGTTGTGTTTTAACATAAACTTTTTCATACTATCAGTTGTTCTCAACTCGTCCTTCAGGCAACAGTACTTTTTGGAGAGTTCTCGCAATACGTACATACAGATCCACATCTCTCTTTTTGGCTGCTGTTGTATATATTTAGATTACACAATATGAATAAATTATACCTTCGATTCCTTGTTTGATGCACATTTAGATGGGCTCTTGTTTCTCATTGTTACAATAATTCTGCAGTGAACATATCAGAAATATCACAAGGGGATCATTTGTAAATTTCCTTAGGAGATTCATCAAGTGTTTCAGGTACTTGGTTGAAGAGCATGTATGTTTTACATTGTAATAAGTTCTGCCAAACTTCTGTCTACTAGGATTTACCAAATTACCCAGGTGCTAGAGAAGAGGATCAATCTCCCACATTCATCCTGTTTTAAATTTCATTTTGAGCATGAAAAATTTTGTAAACCTGTGACTTAAGTGACTTCTATGCTAGGTGAATCATTTATCTCATTTAGAAGGAAATTAATGAAAGAAGAGAGAGGCAGGGACTTTAAAATGTCTAGAAGGTGTGTTCCTTATATATTTGTGGATGGAGAAAAGTCAAAGACTTCAAGAATATAAGCCAACCTCTCTGAGCATCACAGGTGCCTCCATCCTTAGGATGACGAGGCCAGACCAGGTGAACTGCACGGTACCTCTCAACTCTACAATTCTAAGATTCCATTAGGACGCTTAGGGATCACAGATGTATTGGAATCTTGAGATTATACATTATCAAAGGTTTTCATTTTCCCCAATTTGAAGGGTAAAGAATTTATCTTATCATTTCAGTCTGTACTTCTCTCATTTACCAGTGTAAATTTCAACAAATTTTCATGTATTTTTGCATTTTCATGCTTCTCTCTGTGAGTTACGTGCTCATATCTTTGACACACTTTCTATCGTATTCCTTCATTCTTATTATTTAAGGAGTTAACAATACGTGCATGTATGTATTTATGTGTCGCTTGTATCTGTATCTATATATCTTTTGCTAAATAAAGCAAAACTTTTTATTGTATCACCTCTCCAAACTCTTATGATGGTGTCTTTTGTCACATAAAGTATTCTTCCTGAAAACACTGTCACCTGCTTTATTTCTGGGGAAGGATAACGGGAGAAGAGAAAATATTCAACTGAATTTGAGCAGCAGCTAAATTGGAAGCAATGGAGTCAACAACTTTAGGTCTCTAAGCTTCCTCTGATCCATCAGAGAATGCTTGAACTTCCTTGTTTGGAGATTCAAATTTTTCCTTGGAGGATGGCCATCCATTTTCAGTGGGTTAAAGGAATAAAGAACCACAACCTCAAATCACCAATTGGGGTTTGAACACAGAAAATAAGGCCAGGTTACTCCTTTCAAAAGCAGATGTTTACATTAAACTGTAGTTACAAACCCCAGATGTTTTCTCTGGTTTCCACCCTTACCCTGCCCCTAACAGGAGCCCCAGGAACCTGCAGAGTATATGCATCACCAACCAGACAGACAATCCAGCTGTCTCTCCACACTGGAATCCGACTGCTCATGGACTGTGCTAGCTCAGCTGCCTCCAGGGCTTGGAAGCAGTAACCGTGCTGTCAGGGAGGGCAGGTGCTAAGGATGCCACCAGTCAGAGAGTCGAACGCTGGGCACTGGGTCCAGGATGACATGCACACCCTGTTCACTGCACAGTGTCCGACCACCATGGACAGGAGTGTCTTGCAACAACAGTCTCACTAATGATACCGCTTGTCCGTTCTCACACTGATATGAATGGGGTAAATCTCATCCCTACGACAATTGGAATAAAGATGAAATTCAGGGAGGTGTCACCATAAACCCATAAACTTTTCATCTTATTTTGATCCAGTTTTTCCATTATT